AAACACAGGAGGCAGAGGTTGCGGCGGTGAGGTAAGCCAAGGCCGCGCCATTGCAGGGCAATAAAGGGGAAAACCCCGCCCAAAAAAAAAAAAAAAAAAAAAGAATTCTGCTCATGATTATCTCAGGCGGAAGCTTCCATCTGTTCTCTCTAATAGTTTAACTTGCTCTACTTTGTTCTGTATTTCTCAATCAGGACTTTGGAGTTTCTGCATGAGATCAAATATTTTTCTCATTTCCCTCTTTTATTAAAATGCCACATTTATATGAAGGACAAGTCCCCTGCTATATTGCTTACAGTGCTATTTTAGGAGAGAGAAAATATTTTGTCACAAAGAAAGATTTCCTGACATCTCTATGGCTATATAAATATTTATATATATATTTAAATGCTAGGATTCGTTGATTTTGAAGAGTCTCAGTCTCCATCTGATTTCTCTACTTCCCTGATAAACCTTCTTCAATCCTTACATTAATTTTTATAATGATCAGACCCAAAGCTTAACCATTACTCGAATGATTTAAATATGAAGCATGACTATAAGTCAATGTGACTAATTTTCAAAATGAACAGGATTTGAAGATAGTTCAAAGACATAAACTCCAAAAGTCTTTTGAACCATGGCAATAGCATTGGAACAAGCACATAACTTTTTCTGCTTGTTTTCTGTAAATATTCACTTACACAATCACGCACACTTTTCATCATCTTCTTCATTCTTGGTATTAATATGCTATACTGCATCTTCTCTGAAATAAAACTTTCTCACTTTACTATTCATATTAATAATTCTCATAACAAAAGTAAGTATATTTTAACTTTCAACAGCAACTTTTTCTTCATTACCTTCTCACATTTAAAAATGAAAAATATCAAAGTGACATCTAAAAGATTTTTTTAGTTAGGGGACATTCTGGTATTACATTTTCTTAAAAAGATAACCTCCTGGTCCCATTAATTCATAGCTTTAAGTTATTTGTTTGGAAACTTAGAGGCTTTTCTGCTGCTTCAGTGTTCCAATTTTAAAAAAATGCAAACGAAGTCTATATGAAGGCATTCGCAACTCCCATGTGAAAGGTGGTATTTATAATAATTCCCTTCTGATGAACTCCTGTAATTTTCCATCACAAATTAGTGTTCAAGTTGCTTTCAGGCAGACACATCTTCCATATGCTCTAAATACAGGGTTGACCTTGGGGTGAGAGTGGAAGCCAGTCCAAATCTTACTATAGTCTCCCATTTTCTGCTTCAAACATTTTTATATGGGAACAACAATTTAAAAGAAATCAACCTTACAGGAGAGAATGAGGAAATCCCAAAAGAACCACACCCAGTATGGGCCAAGGGTGTGCATAGAAGACAAGCAGTCCTACCTGCCTGTCCTGATGACCAAGGGTAGCAGGTTGTACTTACTGCATATATTAATATTTCCGTAGGAATTTTCCCACAACGCATATTGAGGACAGTGAGTCTTATAACCCCACGAGCCAGGTAGGATTATTATCCTCATATTTTACAGATGAGAAAAGTGTATTTCAGGTCTCTTTTAGCACCAGTTGGAGAATTGGCCAACTGCCTGAATGAGTCACAGTCCAGATGCTCAGTCCTGCAGCCACAGAGCCCAAGACAATGATCCAATGTTTTTTTGGCACTCCTCACTTTAACTGTGCCCAGCAAACATCCTGAATATATGATAAAATATGTTTTTTTAAAACTCCACATTGGGGCCAGGTGCTGTGGCTCATGCCTGTAATCCCAGCACTTTGGGAGGCTGATACAAGCGGACTATGAGGTCAGGAGATCAAGACCATCCTGGCCAACATGGTGAAACCCCATATCTACTAAAACTACAAAAATTAGCTGGGCATGGCGGCACATGCTTGTAATTACAGCTTCCTGGGAGGCTGAAACATGAGAATAGCTTGAACCAGGGAGGTGGAGGTTGCAGTGAGCCAAGATCGTATCACTGCAATCCAGCCTGGTGATGGAATGAGACTTCATCAAAAAAACAAAAGAAAACAAAAAACAAAAAGAAAAAAACCCTCCATATTGTACTTATTATCATACCATATCTGTATTAGTGAATATTTCTTTTTGGTATTGGAATAATGAACTATCACTTGAAAGCCAATTTTCACTTTGGCCTTTTATGCCAATCTACGGAAGCATTGGCACCGACATTGGAAGTGGGAAACTTGCCCACCCAGCAGGACTATGCACAATTTAGCCAAACATCAAAATTCTCTGTCATGTCTCTTAAAATTAAAGCTAGAATTAAGGAAAACTACCACCAGGGGGCAATAAATATCTTATCACATGGTCAGACTGGAAATAAATGCGTGACCAGCAGCCATATTTGGTTTGATTCAAATCATTTGTTGGCTTGTTCATTTTAAGTTTAAGCCAACAGCTAATAATCAGGAGTGCCCACATAACAATATGGATTTTCAGTTTTTCTTGAAAAATCAGAAGATCTAGGAATTACTGGCTTTTCATTCCTTCAAGATAATGATTAGCTATAGCTGAACCCAGCTGCCCCACTTGGATAGCCAGGCCCTTTCCAGCACTCCATGCTATGCATGTGTGCTTACATCCAGCCTGCTTCAGGTTACCTACCTGGCCTCTGTGACATTCTGAGTTGATGAAGCTCTTAGCCAGTTGGGTTATGGCGAGAAGTATGGTTACAAGAAAGGCTATATGCATTGAACTTCTAGACTTTTTAAAAAATGCTAACTTGGGCTGGGCGTGGTGGCTCATGCCTGTAATCCAAGCACTTTGGAGGCCAAGGTGGGCAGATCACCTGAGGTCGGCAGTTCAAGACCAGCCTGACCAACATGGTGAAACCCCGTCTTAAAAAAATAAATAAAAAATAAAAATAAATAAAAAATAAAAATAAAAATGCTAACTTGGTTATTAAAAAATGACATTGCACCATCAAGGAATACAAACATTAAACATTGAGATGAGATTAAGGTATTTTTAAATGACCAAACTTTTGATATTGACCTATATTTTCACTAATGCTTTAAATCAACTTATTCTGTCTCTGTTCTTATCCTCTGACTGAAATAGAAATTTGTGTATTCACCCTGAATCCACATTCTGGAGGCATCAGGACCCTCCTAGAGATGCAATATATTTTGTTACCTCAAACTAATTAGACATCTGGTCATTGTTTTAGTTGCAGGTGAAAGCGGGAATGGCACAGTTGCCATAACAAATTTACTTAGATGCAGTTTCTCAACTTTGTACCTATTTCATTCTTTCTCTAGCGTGTGGAAGAAACTACTGGAGGAGATAAGAAAGAAAACACCTCTTTTTGCCTTCTCCTCACTCTCCTGTAAGTTTACTCATAATAAGAAGCAAACAGAGAGCAAGTGATAGTCTCCAAGGTCAAGGATGGCCTTGACAGTGAGGATATTTCTCTTGCTAGCCTTCTAGACTATCTTTACCATTCAAGGTCAAACAACTTTCTATTTTCATAGAGAAGTTACTGTTGTTCTGTAAAGGTAGTTTGGGGTGGAAGATAGCTCCAGCTTTGATTCAGAAAAGTTTGGTTTATTACTCTATTATTGACTGAGTTTCCTAAGACAAATAATTTACCCAATTTTCTTAACTACAAAATGGGGATAATGCTATTTACCCTTAGTACCTTCTCATGTAAAGAATTATATTACTGTAAACAAAACAATACATATAACAAAAAGTGTAGAACATTGTGTAATACAAAGTCTTATAATTTGAGAAATGCCTCTGAAGCAAACTGGCCTCAGATGGCTTCTAAATCCTGAGGATTTAATAATTGGGATGCAGGTAAACAAGATCTTCATCCTCATAAGTGAAAGAATTTTAGTCTAGGGTTAATTATCTTGTGTTAACGTTATACAAAGACATAGACTCTGAAATGCGCCAGATCACAGAACTCCCTTGTCATATGGAATCTTTCATTGCTCAGTAATTGAATAAGCAAATTGAAACTTAGAAAACATTGCTTTTTGAATACAATCCTATCAGCTCAACCATAATGAGACTAAAAACTTGGGTGCTATAAAGTGAGAGAGAATGGTTCAGGATTATAGAAATAGGATAATCAGTCTTTCAGATTAAGACTACTTCTTAGTTAAAATGTCAACTAAAATAGACCCAATATGATCTTTCTTACATTGTATTTAACATGTAATCATAAATCTAGAGATTTCAAAATAAAACCATAGCAAAACATATTTGTTGCATTGCTTGGAAGCACTACGCACAGGTAATCTATCAGAGCCATAGCCTAGAAATTATTTTGTTCCAAGGTTTTGATATCATATTTGCCACTAATCAAATGACATAAACTTGAATGGCTTAACTAGTGAAATAATCACACGTAGTTCTAAAATTTACTCATTCATTTACATAGTTCCTCTACATGCCGGATACTGACTAGATGCTGGAAAGACCACCATGATGCCATGATTCCTGCTATCAAGTGCCTGTCAGTCCCCTCTGGCTCTAAGGAGGTCTCTCTCTAAGAAAGCATGATGGGGTGGAGGTGACAGTGCAGAAAGTGAGAAAAGGAGGGCAGGACAAGAACACTAGTGAGTCAAGAGTTTAGCAAATATAAAAATTAGTAGAAAGTGCAGGTCCACATTAGAGGCGAGAAAATTTTGGTTATGAGATGCCAATGGGGCTGCCACAGGTAGGTTATTAGTGAGAGCATTACATAGACACCTACTGGAGCAGACAAGGTGCTGAAGCCCAGACCCAACTTGGCTTCTCAAACCTCATGCCCTGGAGCAGGAGGGAGGCTTTATCTGCCTCTACAAATGGCCACCTTCTTTGCATAGGATATCTGTGTCCCTGGATCCAAAAGTATACCTTTAAAACCAGAAAAATTAAGGAAAGGGATGGTTGATAGCATTTATATTCTGCATTCAGTCAAGGATCTTCTTGGCAAATGTTCACATGTTCAGAATTCAAGTATATTTTCAAGACTTCCAGGTGCATATTTCGTGTTTTACAAGATATAGCAATAGGTTTCCAATATGGAGCTTAAATTCTTCGTCTACTTTAAGTGTTCAATATTTGAGATATAGTATGTTAAATAAAACACTAAGGTCTTATTGACTTTTGTATGATAACATTTTAAGAATCATCTCTTTTGTTTTTTTTTTTTTTTTTGAGACGGAGTTTCGCTGTTGTTGCCCAGGCTGGAGTGCAATGGCGCAATCTCGGCTCACCACAACCTCCGCCTCCTGGGTTCAGGCAATTTTCCTGCCCCAGCCTCCTGAGTAGCTGGGATTACAGGCACGCGCCACCATGCCCAGCTGATTTTTTGTATTTTTAGTAGAGACGGGGTTTCACCATGTTGACCAGGATGGTCTCGATCTCTTGACCTCGTGATCCACCCGCCTCGGCCTCCCAAAGTGCTGGGATTACAGGCTGGAGCCACCGCGCCCGGCCCGAATCATCTCATTATACTATTATCATATTATGCAAGAAAAACATCAAGTTTCAGTGTGATCCAGGGTCATTTATTATTTGAACAAGATTATTCTCATTTATTTGGTTTCAAGTCTTAAAATTTATGGTTCTACATAAAACAGAGGAAAGCTGCCTAATCTTTTCTAAAACAGAGTGCTGATGTGGCGTTTAAAGTCCACTTCATTTCTACCCAGTTAAATTTCCTGTAAAACACCTGGAAGAATCCTTCATACTAAAAGAAAGCAACTTGTTCCTGCATATCATATGGGGCAGAGAAAAAAAATGAAATAAAACAATTTGTGTGTTCATGTTCATAAAAACTGTACCGTGAACCTAGAACACAAAACAAACCATTGTATGGGTGTGTCTTTTTTTTTTTTTTTTT